TGGCAGATGCAACAATTTCCCAACCTGTCCTTGCTGCCTATGCCACACACACAAGTCATATACCAGGAAGATATCTTTGCTGCTGTTAAGACTTATTTGCATCAATTATCTGTCTTTCCTTTAGCAGAGGTCTTTTCTCTGCTATCAAAATTCAGGATAGGATATCTAAGTGATAGATTCCAAAATGTCAGAAATTGAGTAGCTTCCAAAGTTGGACACAAGCCACTGTCAAAATGTATTTTGCAGTTAAAGATGATTAAGATCAATTTATGGATCCTACTGTGAGCAAGTGAAACAAGATCGGAATATTGATGGTGATGTCTGCTTTTTCATAAAGCTGTGCCCAAGTTTGGCTGCTGTTCCACAGTTGCTTTCTGTGATGGAAGAGCTTATCAAACCAAATCTAAGGTCATCAGGAGAAATGCCATTGCTCTGATATTAGCGGGGACAGTCACAGTGGTTTTTAAACAAAGAGAAAGTTCTCTGAGTGAATCAACTGATAACAGATAGGACATTACTCACAATTTACACTTGGCAATTGAACTGGTTTTTCATACACTGTATATTTGACTCACTTGTCTTTGCTTGCGTCCTGACTAAATTCAGAGCACAGGACATATTTTTAGATAAGAACTCATCCTGTGACTTTGCTGCACTGTCCTTCCAATTCAAGACTGGTCTTACCAGGGGAAGAACATATACTGTTTATGACTCGTGACCCTATGCCTGCTGCACTGCAAAAGTAGTGGTAGATGTGCATTTATGCCTGTAAATGAATGAGTAGAGCCTGGTTAATCCTAAGAATATGTTGTTGAGGCTTAATGATGTAGATTTTGTTTTTAAACATATCTCTCCTGTTCTTGCTCTGTTAGAGCATTGATATGACACAGCTACTTCACTTGGGATCACATACACTCTCCAATGCTCATCACTTGCTATATGCATTTGTACTCATAGCAGCTAGGTAAGAAATACTACTATTTGAATCTAGCCCTGTATATTGCTCTCACTACAGGTATTTGAGGCTATCAGGTCACACACTGAGTTTTTGTCACTCAGTGTATGTCCTCAACCTACTCCCATTAATGTAGAAGATTTGCCTTCTGTTGGATCAAAAGGCTTTGCTTGAAATAGTAGCACCAGAGATGGCCTCTAATTTATGAAACATCCACCAAGCTACGGGAATGTACTTCACCCATATTTGGGGATGTCATTAATTTCTTTGTTGCTAGTTGTCTCTCCTCTCTTAATTAAAGTGTTTGTTATATATGTCACATCTTAGGTTTTATACACAAGCAGGTGTTAAAAAGATTGATTCAAGCTTTTACTCTTCCATCTTTTACCCAGTTCCTGCTTTTTATCTGTATATCCAAGTGGAGTCTGAATTTTTCTTGTTCCATGTGCTCATTTTTTGTTACTAATCTGCCCCCCTTTCACATGCTACCAATACTTTAGTCCCAAAACTGCAGTTCTTTGAGGTTCACTTAACAATCTGTTACTTCTATCCTATGATTCACTGCTGTGATGTGTTCATCCCCACATTGGTTCTCACTCTTCAAATATAATTATTGAGGAGGAGCTTTTAAAGGCTGCCCATTTTCTCTCTGCCACATGTGATTGTGTTTGTTCACACCTGCCCTGCAGTCATGTCGCTCTGCCACCACCAGCATCTTCCTTATCTATGCTCATTGATATCTTAACCTGTTACGACTCTCTTACTGCTTTCAGTCAAAAACCTAGAACAACCTACCATTGCCATTTCATGTCCTTCAGCTCTCTCTTAAAATCTTTAATGTACCATAATGGACAGCAGAAAATATTACTTATCTATTTACTAGACAGGTGCTTTGAAGCTACAGACAGCACATTCATCTTCCCTCACCACCTAGAATCATGTTCTGGGTTCTGCTAAAGCCATAAAGAAGTAATTGTGATAATTTGTATTTGGAAAGGTCTCATTTAGACATGTGTAAGAGAATGGTGGAATGAATTATAATCCACAGCACTGTCTATTGATCGTTATGGTTACAGCTAACTTAAGCTAAATACGTAGCTTTTGAGGTTTGAAGCAGCACCTGTTACAACTCATCTTCAGCTCAATGCCTTGTCTACGTGTTCTGCTCAATGCCTTGTCTATGTGTTCTGCACACCCAGATTTTTTTTTAGGGGCTCTCTCTGGAGTGTGTTCCCACTCATTGTTCTTTTCAGACCTGCTGAAGTCAAGGGAGTTGGTGTGAAGGGGAAAGCCATGGGGTGCTTTCCCATCAATATGCCTATGAATCAGGGATGAGGTCCATCTCTGCTGTCTGGGCAGAGGGGCTGAGAGGCTGAAAGAAGGCACTCTGGTGTAGTTGCTACCATGAAGCTGTGCTGGCCTCTGGATCAGCTCCTGTCCGCCAGCTTGGTGGAAGCAATACATGTAGTACTTGGCAATTAGCTCTTTGTAAACAAGCAGGGTCATTTCATCCACTGCTTAAAAAAAAAATCATGTCACATCACTAAAGGAAAATGTTGTCGACAACAGGGAAATGAGCTTTCGTAAGACAAGCAGAGAATATAACAATCTACTTCCACACATACAAAAGGATGAACACAACACAAAGCGGAGCAAAAGAGGACCTGCAACTTTCTGATACACAGTTATTACTCCAGGTCACTCTGTCTAACCCAGAACAGCTAAATGGCAAATACAACAACTGCAGGAAAACCTGCTGGGTATATTTATTTGACTCCACATCACTGCATCTCATCAACCATGAATTTAAAGTAAGCACAATTTATTGGTTTTCTCTTAAGATCGAAGGATGCTGACCTCATTGGTCAAGAAAAAGAAGCAAAATCAGTTCATGCCTTAGCTCCAGATGAAGGGATAAAAATAATTTGAGAGTGGCTTTTCAAGAATTCCATTGCAACATTTTATACACATTATGCATTTCTTCCACAAACCAAAGGATAATTTAGTAGTCAGAGAAAGACAATCTTTGCAAAATAAAGATCAGCAAAATGAAAAACAGTCCTGAGGCTGTTGAAAACAATAATTTAATGTCCTGCCCTTTATTAAAGAATAGAAAGATCCCAAAGCTGATAGAAAGGATTTCTTCTTTATGCATTTTTTCAAGTAGGGCACATATAGTATCACTTGTGCTCAAAAGATTTCTGGACAAAACCAAACTCTTGCATCTGACTGGAATTGTCAACAGGCAGCAAACAATGCAGTTTGATCAATAATGTGAATATATAAATGCAGAGACATATACAAACCTAATCTATAAATATGTGCACACATTTATCTCTGAAATCCAGAATAAATCTCATCTGAAGGCTTGTAATTTATTTTTACAGAGGGAATGAATCACAAAAAGTAAGCTCATGCGTAGAATATGATATTTGCAAAGAACATGAAAGCTGCAGTCCTTATCTAGCTAAACACTTACAGATATACTTAAATGCCACATGGAATGGGATCTTCTATAAGGATCAGCATAGACAAGTAAGTTTTTTGCCAACTTTTGAAATGATAGGTAGAGTTTTCTCACAAGAAAATTTTTAAGTGGTAAATGTATATAAACAAAATAGCAATGAATGAATGGCTCTAAAATCCAGTTCTGGTTTTCTATGTACTCCAACATGAAGCTGGTTTCCATTTTAAATATTTCTATCTCCATCAATAATTTTAATGCAGAATTCATAATGCTAAACTCCTACTGGATTTCACAGAGCCCTGTTCTATTCAACCTCAGATATTACCAAGCTTTTGCTAATTAAATCCATCACTATTTTGTACTTGTGGAGGTGGAATCCTGTTTCCACAATTTCAGAACAGTTCATCTTTTCAGACTCTCCTTGCCTGCTCCCATTTCTCTTATTCTTTCATAAGTATCACAGTCACCACAGTTCACTGTCCAAAGTACTCGTGTGGGTATCTACAGACACACGGCCATCTGAGTAGTTTTTAAGTTCAGTTCTCTCTCCTAGACAATGCTTTTCAACCATGTGAAATGGGGACCTGAGAAGTAGATAAAGGTCACTAGAGAGATTTCCTGTTCAGATTTCAAAATCTGAGGAAAAGGATTGCTTAGGCTGGGCCTCATTTCATGAGATTGTGCCAAGCCAAGATCTTGCCTGCTCTTTTTTGTTTTTTTTTCACTGTGATTTTATCATACTTTCTGCTACAGGAAAAGCCATTTCAGTAATAAATCAGAATAAATAAAATTCTTTGGGGATGATTTAGGTATAACAAAATTCAGTCTTGTTCTGATGCAGGAAGCATGCATAAGACAATCCAGTACAGATCCCTTCAAACAAGTGAGAGCAAGATTTATGCATCAGTTTTGAGGGCTCATGTCTTGAGATATTAAAGGATGATCTTCTCCACAGTTTAGAAATTACTTTTTTTACATGACAGCAAGAGCTATCCCTGAAATTTCAATCTTCATTCCAAAAATTGCCCTTACCGAGTGTATACAGTACACTGGAAAAAGTCATGAATATATTTGAAATCCAAGTTGCAGATGAAAAACAAGATCCTATCTGTTCATAGCTATTAAAGAGAGCATCGTGATGTTTTTCAGAGGTAGATAACTATCTTTGATATTCTATGAGTAATTATATTCCGTCCACCTGGCTTCTCTGTGGGACTTCAAATTAAAACAATACTTAATCTCCCCTAAATTGTGAGACAGTATGTCTGAGTTCCAGCTAGGAGATTTTACTTTTCTGTTAGTAGAGGAACTAATTACCGTTATCCCCAGTGCCTGCATAATCTGAAGCTAAAATATTTCTTTTTCTCCTGTATTTGCACCTTCTGGGTCCCAGAAGGAAATCATATTTCTTAACTTGAAAAAAGTCTTTCAAGTCCTATCATGCTGATATTCTTCTCTTTCTCTTTTCCCTCACCTCTAGTTTTCAGCCAGAGCTTTCTAAATATTTTAGTATTTATCTGCAGTACTAAGACTTTTTAGAAGCTTGAGTGCTAACAAAATGGCTTTCTTTATGTACAGGAGGAGCTGTTGACTCCCGTGAGGGTGGAGAAGCCTTGCAGTGAGATCTTGAGAAATTAAAGGACTGAGCAATCACCAACTGCATGAAGTTCAGCAAGAGCAAGTGCCAGATTCTGCATCTGGAATGGGACAGTTCTGGCTATATGTGCAGACTGGGGGACAAGAGGCTGGAGAGCAACCACGCAGAAAGCGACCTGTGGTTTTGGCAGATGGCAGAGTTGAATGTGAGTCAGCAGTGTGTCCTGTCATCCCAAAGAGCCAACCGTACTCTGGAAAGAGTCAGGGTAGTGATCAAGTTGTCAGAAGCATGCTTTCTCCCTTACAAGAATTAATGTCCCTCTGTATCAGATAGATATCAGTGATGCAAACAGGGAAAAACCTGTCTTAACCAGATACCCCTGATATCTCTGTCTCCATACCCGAAGTTCAGAGGGACTGAAGTTATCAGATATCCAAGTAACTCTTAACATTGGGAAGCAGAACGTACCAAACACTCTAGCCAAGACCACAAGCCAAACTAATTTATGTCTCTCTTGAAGATACAGAGATCATGTGGACAAGTATGTACCATCTCTTCACTCGTTTGGCCTGATCAAAGTTGAGATAAAGTCCAAATAACTTTGTCCTCTTTCAATTAATTAAAAACTTCCAATCTGAAGTTTTCTCTTCGAAAACAGGATAACCTAGGGAGCTCTGTTTTGATTACCCAGGTTTCCAAATTAACAGAAAATAGACTTTTGGCAACATGAATAATGTGTTTTTGTCCCAGAAGACATTGCTCTGGCATTCTGTTGACAAAAACTTCCCTATGTAGTTTTGAGACTGCTAGCAATTGCACTGCAGTACCAGGATAAGAGTTGTCTTTCAGTCAGTCATTTTTCTGCTAACCTAGTGCCTCTGTGAGAGCACAGGTTTTTTTCTCTTCTATTGCAAATTGTTGAACCTTAAAAAATTAATTGCGTATACACTAGTGATCACTTCCATAGATAGAGCCTGAGGCAAAATACACAGATGAGAAAATATGGAATTTCCTCTGACATTTTCTGGCTAATGCTATCCATGAAATTACAAATAAAATCACCAGGGCCAGCTGCTCATTTTATATGTGCTCTTCCAATCAAATCAGATATTAAAGTGTCCTTTCACCAAAGTTTTCTCAGTTCAGACAAAATTTCTGCAGAGCAGAGTTATTCAGATAATACTAATATTTTAGTTCACATTTGTTTTTAACAATCTACATACAGGTAATTTCTGTATTTATTTATTTTTTGCTACTGAACCAACTCTACATTTTGTTCACCAGCCTTTGTTTGCTATATATTCATCCTTAGAAGGTGGTGTAGAGACTTCTGCAAATGTGGTAGTACAGGCTCAAGCATTGTATGCTACAGGAATCCCCTAAGGTGTAGAATTGGTGCAGGAAGCTCTGACACATGGAAACAAGCAAAAATAACATTTAACTCCAGTAGACCTCAGCGTCTGAAACTTCTCATTTGTAATGAAATAGTTCTCCTTAAGAACAATCCAAAAATCAGGTGGGGAAACCTAGAGCTGATATCTGACCTGTCAGCACTGCTTACCAAATTCAAGTCTCAACCAGCCCAATACTGAATAGGGCTAAATCTTAACTCTAGACATCTTACCCTGCCAGGACCTAGCCTAATACCTTGAAATATAACATTCAGTTATTCACCTTGCATAATACTGGATTCATGACAGATAGTAAGGGATCTAAGTCTTTAGATATATATTTTTTTCTAAAGCCGTATATTGATCATCAATACTGATGGTATGAAGGCTCACTGGAAGAAAAGGATTCCATGTGAAGGAAAAATATCTTAATCCTTCCACAGCAGAGTTGCATTGATATCTCACTGTTCCCCACTAAAATAATATTCACTGAAATCCTGAGAGTAAAGGTCTTTATGAAATGCTTATTGAGAAAGCACATATCCTGCCTGTAAATTTCTGAAATAAAATGAGTAGGCTGGTTAAAAGCATTTTGAAAATAAATATGAAAAGTTAACCTCATATGACACATTTGAGCTGTTCCTGTGTTATTCCAGTTGAAATAATTTATAAAACAAGCATTTGCAATGGGAGAATGCAGCATGATATGAACTCATGTGAATGCATTGTAACAGTCAAGTATTTAATCACTTTTCAATTCTTATTAAATGAAAACATTTTCCAGTATTGTCTGAACTGTGCTCACTGTAGTCAATGGGTGTTCAACTCCTTTACACAGGAGAATTGAGTTCACCACCCTGCATAATAAAGACTTAACCGTATTTTAAACTATAACTCAGCAGGTGATTGAATATTATCTGCTTTACAGAAAAAAATACAGCTAAAATGAGCTCTTCAGCTGTAAATAATTCTGTCATAAAGGAGAAAGCTAATGTTTTTCTTGGATAACAATCTCAGCTCTGCTGTGTGGTGCACTGATTCTCCCTAGTCAGTTCTTGATGTCGTATCATCAGCTACTCCAAAAAGGGAATGTTAGCAGGGCCTTTGAGAAAGCCACCTTCGCTAAAATGAGCATGGAAAGTCACGTAAAGAGTTTGGAGTAGGACATTCCCTGACTGCATTTTCTTTTCCCTAGCACAGTGAGAAAGAAGATGTTATCTACAAATAGCTCTTCCTTCCTTCTCTTCCCAGGCTCCCAAAGCTAATCTCTATGGTATGAATGTCCTGGAAATGCTCTCACTGGCTTTTGCAGACTACGGTTCATATTTATTATACAAAACTAAGGTTTAAAATCATGTTTTCTTTTTAGAATATCCAAAATGTAAAAACAAACTTTGGACATCAAAATAATCCTTTTCTCCATAAACATTCAGATCAATCATTAGAACACCAGCAGGTTCTGAAAGATGCCACCATGACAGATTTTTCTCCCTCAATACTGCTTTCATGATCACATATATTTTCACTTGGGTCATCACTGTATTTGAGTTTTCAATAGTGTGTAGTCCAGCTACCTCATTTTGAATGTTAATTTCCTGAAAATGATTGAAAACCATATTTTTAATGTGGCAGGTGCTTGGCTATGACATGATCCTTTTATCATTGTTGCCATTGGCACACAACGTGTGATCCAGGAAAATGTCTTTTTCCCATGGCTATCAGCCCAGCACTGGCTTTGTTAACTAACTAGTTTCACCTAGCCAGATTCTGAATGTTTGCAATCATTTACTTGTGTTGCTACATATTGCCTTCCATCATTTTGTAAAGCACCTCTTCAGCAATGACAACTTCCTCTTGTCAGCCCTTCGGTCTGTAAGTAGCCCACTCCATGGAGTGTTATATCCCAGTGATACTTCCCCAAAACCCTTCAAGAAGCTCATCAAATAACCTGGGAAATCTCTCTGCTGTCTTTTATCTGAAGCACGGTATGCAGCTGTCCCAGGCAGGGGTAACAGTTCTGTTTTAGAGAGTTGGATTAGTTTTTCATAGCATGTTGACAACTTTTCAGCAGGAAGCCTGAATCTTTGTACCACTGAGTAGTACAGATATGCCCCATGGAGTCCAGTGTGATTTCATCATGACATAAAGCTTGGATTAAAGCACCTAACCAGCTAAAATGCATCCACAATGATCATGGAGGTGGAAGAAGGCTCTGTTTAAACACTCTTTATAAACACTCTCCCTGTCTGTTAGAAATTTTGAAATTATGTCTGTGAGTCTTTTTCTCATAGGTGAGGGGTGAAAAAGTATTCGCTTAGCATCTTTCTCTTCTTTTTCTGGATCACTTCTCTTCCCATTTCCCCAAGATTTCTTACTTATTTCTAATAGGCAGCTGCAATTAAAGCCCTTTAGAATAATCTGCTTTCATACCAGTTGACTGTAAGCTTCAGAACTTCTCATTTTTGTTCTGAAGGATATGCAATTTTTCTAACAGTTTGAGTACTTTTGATCTGTGCAGCTTTTAAAGGGCAATCAGGAAGACTGATCATTCCCACCTAATTGCAGAGAGAGAAAGGAAGAAGGGAAGCTGAGTTTTAACAGTGGAGAAACACCTTGATGTGTAGATAGACTTCAATTATGATAACACAGAAGATTTGGAGTCTGATTAGGCAAACAGATCCTGCACAAGAGACTCTACTGAGTCCAGAGCAGTTATTAATGTATAGGCAAAGTCTTATTCTTCAGTGATGATGTCTTTGGACACTATTTTATTTTTAAAAAAAAAAAAAAAAAAAAGGCAGACATTCTAAGATATGCTTCAGGCTCTCCCCAGAGTTAGGATCCCCACAGCTGGAGACAACTTTTGAGAACATGCCCATCCACAGAAGACCATAAGTCTACATGCTGCAGAATGGCCACTAGTTTTATCCTGAGCTGTGCTCATCCAGTATAAACAAGCCAGAGTCACAGTCTGGTGTGCCTTCTCTGCTTTCTCTGTGCTAGAACAAGGGATACTTTGTGGTCAGTTGCCACATTACCTTCTGGGAGGGCTTTCTATTCAAAAGCAGCAGCATGGTCTAGGAATAAGATGGTCAGAACTTAGGATTTCTTTATCATCTTTTCAGGTTTGCTATCCAGAATGAATGATTACTGTTTAAGAGATATCAGTGCTTACCTCTCCACTTTGACTTCTGCTTTATCAGGTATGTGAAATGGCTTCTCCGGACAGGTGAGGCTGTGTTTAAAGGCAAGAAACTCCAACAGCTAAAACATCTTAAGTCATGTTTGGGTTCATGCTGCAGGCCCACTTTCCTCCAGCTTCTCGAGACTATCACAGAAGTCTGTACATTCTTGAAATGATTCTTGCACTGAAGTATAAGTATTGCTGGTGTGTATTTAATGAACAAATAGCCAATGTGATAGGAACCTGATCACCAGTGTGGAGTTCCTGTCCAAAAAGAATAGGTTATTATTTTCTTGTATGAATGTATTGATCTGACACAGTAGAGAGCTGTGGAAAAGGTCGACAAGGACCACACCATAAATCTTGATGAGCTCCTGTATGCACACCCTCAAAAAGAAAAATGTGAACCATTATCTTAGAAGAATCTGTAGAACATGTAAGAAAATGAAATGTCTTCATGGAGGCCAGAGCATAGAGGAGGAAAGGAGAGGAAAAGGGAGAAAAGAAAAGCAAGAAGGGAGAAGGAAAAAGAGCTTCTGAAGGGAATTTTCTCTAAAATGCTGTAATGGAAACGCTGAGTCACAGCCTGAACCAGTGATTGAGCACCTGGTAGGAAGACAGGGCCAACCCAAGGGCGCTTTGATGCATGCAGTGCACCTGAGTGACTGGAAGGCTTGGATCCAGGATCCGCCTCTTCCCAGTCTTCATTTAAGGGTTAGCAATGGAGGCAAGGGCATCCATCTGGGAATCTCTGCTTATCTATGGGTCTCATAGGCCTTCTGAAGGTAAGTACCTTCTTTCTCTTATTTCTACATTCACTGCTGTTGTGTTTGTGTAGATCTTCACTTGCTGTGGCCTAGGATCTTGCTTCTCTGCTGCAATCATTATGCTTTCCATTGTGTTACAAATGCCATGGGATAAATGGTTTGAACTAATGGTACTGGTCTTACTGGCCCAATTGTAGGAGTTAGTGGCAGCTTAACCCACTCAGGATCCCACTACTACATTTAAAAGATGAAGTAGAACAAAATTTCTACTTGATAAAAGCCTCTGTGGGTTATTTAGATTGTTCATATAATGCTTTTGCTTTGTGGTTTTAAGATCTATAGCCAAGGAGACTATGGAGAACATTTGGACAGCCAACAGAAAGATTTCTTTCCATTGGCTTGGGATCCTTGTAGAAGCCTATGAGCTGGATATGAAAAACATGAGAGGACCAACTGTGTACGAAGATCTCTGTAACCTGTTGCTTATGCTGCTCAGTAAGAGACTGCCAAATAAGCCAACAGGGAGCTATATGTATGCTTGATGCAGTCTTCTGTAGCAGCAGGTCTGATTCATTTTTCTGTCCTTTCCTCTTACTCCTGGTGCCTCCAACTTGTCTGAATATGCATTGCCACAACCACTTCTGGACTGTAAGGATTACTTATGTCCATTGGACAGTAACAGCACTGACTTCTGTAGCAACAGTCTCTTCCAGCCATGCTGTGCTGTATATTAAAGACTTTCAGAATTACACACTATGAATAAAACAAATAAGAATAGAGTGGAAAGCAGATCTGGAAAACCTACATATCCTCAGCAATTGGCAATACTGAAAACTGAATTTTTCTGCTTTTTTTTTTTTTTTAATATTTCTTTAGAGCTTAAAATATCCTTGTGCAAATAAAATAATTATCCAGAAGACTGTATCATTGTCAAGTTGCTACAAAATGGAACTGTAGCTAAGCAAGGCCTTGGGTTAGATTTTTAGCTTGAACTCGCTCAAATGGAACTTTATGCTTTTCTTTTAAAGAAATTCCCCTTGTGTGTCTAAGCATGGAAGAGGAGGGAAACTGCTCATCTTC